AGGCTTAGTATTTCTCAGGATCTCTTTCTGATTTTATCCTCTTTAATTTCTCCTATAGCCTCCCTCCTTAAGTCTTTCCCTGCCAAGCCAAACTGATGAAAACATATGTGGTAAGACCCAGGCTTGGGTGTGATCACTAAAGTAACTGAGAAGCCATCGTTGCCCTAGAGACAGGCCTGTCATCTCAGAAGGAGAAGCAAATCCGTTTCTTCCTTACCAATGATAATCTCCCATCCTCTCTGGACTGTTCTAATCTTCCCTTCTCACTTCCTGCTGGGCTAGAACATTCTCCTTGGGGGTGAGAAACCTGTCAGTGGAATCAAGGAAAGTCATCAAGGCCCAAGAGTTGGGGATGGGAGGGGAGAGGGGCTCTCTGCAGGGAGCCCAAAGAACTCTCCCTTTGAATGACAAGGAATTAAGAACCCCTGAAGGGGATGAGCTGGTGTGCTTCACCAGGGAAGAAAATCCTCATTTCCTCTCTTGCTGTCCTGGCGTCTTTCCAAGTGTGGCCCCTTTTTACAATGAGTTGAATGGCTTTGTTTTGCTTTTGTATCTGAAATGTGGATTTTTGAATGCAGATGACACGTTTTGATTCCATGCAGTGCCATTTATTCTTGAATCATCACATTTTAACTTCAAAAACTCAATGAGTTTCAGTGCAGTGCCAGTTTGTTTTAAAAAAAAAATTTTTTCTGGTCCATTTCCCAGGGCATAAAAATGCATTTCAGGCCCCAGGGAGGCCAAGAAGTAGAAAGTGTAGAAATCTTGTTCAGCTCCATCTCATTATTTAAAGTGAATTAACAAGCGGAAACTTTTTACCTGTGCCAGTCATGGGGAAACTGTTGAGCCCTGTTGAGATTTTGGTACCTGCCTGAGATGAGATTCTGTTGCCCCCTGGAATAAATTAGAGGGGTCACTTTCCAGAAGGCCCTAGGATAATAGCCCTGTAAATTCCCCACCATTTAAGTTATGCCTTCAGGGATCTCAGCTCCAAGGAGTCAACCTAGCTTGCCTTTTCCTGCTTTTTCCCCATTAGAAGGAAAGCAAATAAAAAACAGGTCTTCAAATGGGGGAAGATCAACATTTTCCAAACCATTTAACTTGATTCTCTGGCTGATTCCACTTTCATGGGTCTGACGCAAACTCAGACTGATAAGCTTCTTAGAGCCAGCCTTAGGTAAAAGATTGGTCTCCATCCGCCTCTCCTTCTCCCTCTCTTGAAAGCCTCAGGTGCTGGGGCCAAGATGGACAATCCACTCAGGCTGCCACTGGTTTGCGGGGTCTGGTATTAGGCTAGCTCCAGAGGAATCTCAGGGCTCCCAACTGGATGAGCCACCATTTCCCCACTAGATGGCATCCGTTTTTCACTCAAATGCTAACAGAAGATGGTGGTTGTCACAAGGCATCCAGTGACAGGGTCACTCACACCTGAGACTTCAACTTGCCCACTACAGTAAGTCATACATAGCTTTTGTGTTCTGTGTAGGACATATTTTCCACACATCAGATATAGAACCTAATGATTTTGTTCGGGGAAGCCTCTCCCCCTCAAGAAATAGAGACTAAAATCCCAAGTAAATGTAGAATAATGAAAAAAGAAAAAAAAGAGAGAAAACACCTGAACTTGGATTCAGAAACTTGAGGTCAAGCCCCTGCTCCTATGTTTACTAGTTAGGCAGTCAATAAACATCTATTAAGCACCTACTATGTGCTAAGGACTAGGGATACAAAAAGAGGCAAAAGATAGTACCTATCCTCAAGAATCTCATGATTTATTAGGGGGGACAAAAAACAAACACATACATATAAAATACATAGAAGATAAAAAGGAAATAACAGAGAGAAGGCACTAGAATTAACAGGAGCTGAGAAAGGGTTCTTCTAGAAGATCAGATTTTAGTTGGGACTTGAAGGAAGCCAGGGAAACCAGGAAGAGATGAGGAGGGAGAACATGGGCAACTCTTCTCACCTCTCTAAATCTTAGTCTCTTCATCTGTAAAATGGGGATAATAATACTAGTACTATCTGACTCACAGGGCTGTCAAGGGAAAAGTACTATGTAAACTATTGAGATGCGCACTATCACTATTACTCCTACTACCACTACTACCACCATGACTACTGTTGTTACTGCTCAGTTGTTGCAGCCATGTCTGATTCTGCATGACCCCATTTGGGGTTTTCTTGGCAAAGATACTGTAGTGGTTTCCCATTTTCTTATCCAGTTCATTTTACAGAGGAGGAAACTGAGGCAAACAGAGGTAAGTGACTTGCCCAGGGTCACATATTAAGTGTCTGAGACCAGATTTGAATTTAGGAAGATAAGTTCAAATCTCTTCCACTTCTTCTTCCTCTTTCTCCTCCTTTTCCTCGTCTTCCTCTTCTTCTTCCTCTTCCTCCTCCCCTTGACATTCTCTGCCATTTGGCAAATTTATGGAGAGTCCCTAGAAAAGTTAATTTGAGTTGTCTAAATAGCCTCAGTCTCTTGACTTCCTGTCCAGTGCTCCTTCCACAGCACCATACAGAAAATACCACCCAGGCAGAAAATGACCTGTGGTGGCAGGAGACCTTAGTAATGGCACTAGAGTTTAATAACTTGGGGCACTGTGTATGTCAGTATAGGCAGCAATCTTATCACACTTATTGGTTGCCTAGAATATGTTGGTAGGAACTCTCCATGAACATCTTTTGGGTATCTTCTTTATTGTTTCTGCCAAATTATAACCCCCTTTACTTAAAGAAAAAACACAGATCCCCTGTTTGTTGAGCCCCACTTCAGGAAGTAATCTCCCTCCTGTGAATCCATACTTTTTCTTTTCAGTTACCTAGATTATAAACTCCTTGAGGGCAGGGACTGGGTCTTATTCAGAGGCAGCATGTCATAGTACACTGGGTTTAGAGTGGAAAGATCTATTTTCAAATCTGAGTGTGGTCCATTATAACCTACATGACCTTGAGCTCTTGATCTCATTGGCCCTCAGTTTCAACAGGAGGAGGTCAGAGTAGTTGACCTCTAAGATCTCTTCAACCTCTAACTATATGCTTGTCTGATCATTTCTGTCTCCCCCTCAGTGCCTAGCACAAGTACTTATACATGGAAGGTGCCTAAGTAACACTTGTTGAAAGGGATGGATCCCTGGTGTTGAGTCAGAGATCATTGGTTTGAATCCTGGATCTGCCAGTGATGACCTATGTGACCTTGGGTTAATTACATTTGTAATGAAAAGAGCACTGGTTTTAGAGTCAGAAGACCTGACTTCAAACCAAACTCCTGTCATTTAGTACCCCTGTGACCTAGGGCAAATTGCAGCAGCTCTCTAGGCCTCATTTTCCTCATCTATAAAATGAGGTATTTGTTCTAGATGGCCTCCTTCTAGCTCAAAATCTATGACTTAACTGCTCTGAGACTCAGTTTCCCCAACTGTAAAATGATATGGTTGGACAAGGACTCCTTGTAGAATGTAAGCTCCTTATGGGAAAGGGCTGTTTCATTTTTGTTTTTTGTACCTCCAGTGTCTAGCACATAGTAAACACTTAATAAATTGCTTGTGAGCTGAGTGGTTGATTTTAGTTCTCAATCTCTGATCTAAGAGAGCTTTGTGCCCTTTAATCCAAAACTTTGACTTACTCTCCATAAAGGTGTTGGTCATAGGACCATAGAATGTTAGCTCTTAGAGAGCCTTTAGGTCACACTTCTACTTTTACAGAAGGAAAATTGAAACTGAGAAAACTTGAGTGATTTTTCTAAGGTCACACAGTTAACAAATAGGATGCAGATATTCAGGTTTTTTTGTAGTCCATACAGAAATAATTAGCACCATGCTGGGCACCTAGTAGGCACTTAATAAATGTTTATTGACTGACTGATCATTACCCTGTATCCTTATCTACTTTTGCCAATTATTACTTGATGTAGCTAACTCTCCGTTAACTATGGCCATGGGACAGAGATTTAAGTAAGTTTGCTGAATATTCAAGACTATTCTATCTCTTCTTTCTCCTCTGCCCCTACCTTTCCTACCTTCCAGAGCTTCTAAAGATGCTATGATAATATTTACATCACTAGTGGATTATAAAGACTTCTGGTCATGACATCTTCTCTAAGAAGTTTTCTTGGGGCAGCTAGGTGGTACAGTGAATAGAGCACCAGCCCTTAAGTCAGGAGGACCTGAGTTCAAATCCAGCCTCAGACCAAACACTTGACACTTACTAGCTGCGTGACCCTGGGCAAGTCACTTAACCCCAATTGCCTAAAAAAAAGTTTTCTTTTCTGTGGTCTGATTCCCCAGGTCCCAGGCAAGAGGTCAGGATAGGAGGCGGAGAAACAAGTGAAAACATGGTCTGCCTGATCAAGGGGTGACAGATGCTGAAGGTTAAAGAAACCAGAGAGCAGGCATCTGTCTTCTGTGGTCTTTCTTGGCCTGCCAGCATTAGAGGACAAACTCTGGACAGGCTACTGCCTTCCTAAGGATATGTGTACAAAATTTCACTGCTCAAAGTTACCCCCTGTCTATCCTATGCACTCACACACCCAGCACAAGAACAGAACTACCACGTACAGTTGATAAACATCGTGCATGAGATCCTCATTTCTCCAGCAAATCAAACATCACCACTCAAACTATTTGTGCTTCTGAAATAGTATTCAAGCCACTCTATCCCAGGAACAACTCGAGTCTACAGCCATCCTTCATGCATGACAAACGCCACTAGGTTGACTCCCAATCCTAGCAAAGCATCCGATCTGCCTCTCCCCAATCAGATTGTCTCCTCAGCACAGTCTCCGACTCCCCTCCACACTGCAGAGGTTCTGGTGGCCCTAGAGTTTTGCTGGTTCATGAATCATTCTCTTTTCTTGCTCCAAGTCTTTGTTATACTGTTATCTATCAAGTCCCTTCTATCTGCCAAACAGGGAAACAGAGACAAGCTATATCCAACGTCCATGAATAACAAACACAGGGCTCATCCATGCATCACTGCGCTGATGGATTGGTACTTACAGTGCTCGTGGTGAATTCGGGTGGGTTGTCATTCACATCTGTCACTGTGATGATGGCCGTCGCGGTGTTGGAGAGGCCGTAGTTAAGGTTTCCTTCCATATCTGTGGCCTGAACGATGACTGTGTATTGCTGAACTTTCTAGACAAAAAAAAGGGAGGTGGGGGAAATCCAATCAGTACAGCTCGCTTTGTTTCCTAGTGTTGAGCTTTCATAAAGAAAAATATGCCATGGAATGGGGCTCAGTAAAGCATTTCTTGTTCATGCAGAGACTGGCCTAGAAGTCTGGAGGTTCTCAGTAAGTTTCATCCTATTTACACTTCCTTTATGAAGAATACTCTCATTCATTTGGAGAGGAGAAGAAAAGAGAATATGCATTTAAATAGTGCCTACTATGTGCCAGGCACAGTGCTAAGCTCTTTACAAATATCATCTCAGTTTGATCAGTTTGCAGTGCATAAGATCAGGATGTGAAGGAAGCTTGACACGTTACCGTCAGAGAGAAATGTACATTTAGGTATATCACAAACCAGGCTAGAATAACAAAAGAAATCTGGAGACTGGTGAGCACCATGGAGCTCAGAATTTGTACTCTCTTTGGAAAAGCCTCAGCAACTTAGCTGATTTTGGGGGGAAATCACCAAAGTTAAGTAGAAAATCTATAGTCAGTGTCCTCGGAATTCTCTGAAAGAAATATCCTCTTTGGTATTTAAGCCTGTCCAAATCCAGTCCAGGTCAGAAATGTAAAAGCAAATAGAACCCCAAACAATAACAACAACAACAAAACCCAAAAAATCCCAACCCAACTCAACTCAACTCTCAAATATCAACCTGCCCCCTTTTCTTTGCAGGTGCAAAGAGCCAAGAACAATTTCTGTTTGAAAACTTCATCCTGAAGGAGCAGTTAGCATTCAGACACAGGTGTGATTTTTAAAAAGCAAATAAACCTTCATGGAATGAATGCATTTTATTAGGCATTGAAGAATTCTTACTTCTCCTCTCCTAACCCTCACTGGGAGTCCATTAGGACTGAATTTCCATCTCAGCTCAAAAGATCGAGCCTTTTCCAAATATCCTTTCCAGACGAATGGTTGAAAAATGAGTCTGGTCAACCCTGAACCTGAGCTTATAATGGACCAAAGGGGTGGATTTTTCTGTAGCTCTAAAGAACCAAGGTGTCTTCTAAATAAAAGCACCTGCATACCAATATACTTTTCCTGACCTTTTTCTTCTCCCAAGTCATTTTTCAAATAGAAATTTGGGATTTGGCAAAAGAATAACTCCAGGTTGGTTCTGTCAAAGAACAGGACTCTCCCCTGCTTTGGAAACATCTCTCAGTGGATAATATTCCTGTGTCAGAGTCATAGACTTGGATCCTCCAAGGAGTTAGGGGAGCAGAGCACTTCCCAATCATTTTAACTCTCTAAACCCTATGAACTTGCTACAATATCATTGACATCACAAATGTCTGGGCTCCCAGGGCTCTGAGTTAGGCACTGGGGGAAAGAATCTGTGCACAGCAGAGCCACAGTTTCTGCCCTCAAAGATCTTAGTGTCTCTGGGGAGAGACCTGCTTTTTACTCTTTTCATATGCTTTGTGCTCAGGTCAAACTAGAGGATTCATCATTTTCTCTCTTTACAACCTGCTTTCATGATATTTACTATTCCTGGAATGAACTTATCCTCACAATCTCCATCTGTTTAAGTCCTTCCTTCCTTCTTCCTTCCCCTCTTCCTCCCCTTTTCCCTTTCTTCCTCCTTCCCTCTCTTTTTTCCTTCCTTCCTTCCTTCCTTCCTTCCTTCCTTCCTTCCTTCCTTCCTGCCTTCCTACTATTCATATTGTTTGCCTTCCTGCCTTTTAAAAAAAATAAATTTTAGTGTGATGTCTTCTGTTTTCAGAAAAATTGTTTCTGGATATTTCCTCACCCCCACATAAGTCCTTTTTATATGCAAAATCAATCAACACTGCAATCTTGTCTGACAATGTATACAACAAACCTGCAATCCTCTATCTACTGAAAGGAGGGAGATCTTTCCTTTCCACTTCTCTAGGGCCAAAATTGGTCACTACAATTACTAATTATTTGGCTTAATTCTAGTATTTTTAAATTTTGCATTATTATAGTCATTGTGTAGATTGTCTTCCTAGTTTTGCTTACAATTACTCTGAATCAATTCAAACAAGTCTTCCTATTTTTCTTTAAATTACTCACATTTGTTTTTTCTTATTGTGCAATAACATTTACATTCATATACCACAATTTGTTTAACCACTCCCCAATTTATAGGAACACATTTTATTTCTAGGTTTTTTGCTATTAAAAAAAGTGCTGCTCTGTAGCTTAAAAAGGCAGCCAGGTAAGTACAGTGGATAGAGCACTCAACTTGGAGTCAAGAAGACCTGAGTTCAAATCTACTCTTGGACACTTCCTAGCTATGAGACCCTGGGCAAGTCACTTAATCTTTCTCAGCTTAGATTTCCACATTTGTTAAAGGGGGAAAATAATAGCATCTATATCTCAAGATTGTTGTGAGGATCAAATGAATTAATATTTGTAAAGTGCTTTGCAAACCTTAAAGTGCTATATAAATACTAGCTATCATTACTTTTACCTATGAATATATGAATATGTACATATGTATATGTATACATTATACATATATGTATATATGATTTTTCTTTCTGCCTTTGACTTCCTTAGGATGTATTTCCAGTAATGATATCTCTAGGTCAACCTATATGAAGGGCTATAGTGACTTTTCTTGCATGATTTCCAAAAAGATTAGACCAATTCATAGGTCCACTGAAAACATATTAGTATGCCTATTTTTCTACAGTGCCATCCTGCACTAATTTTTTGGGGTGGGGAGACATGATCTCCCTATCTTGCCCAGACTAGATGTGCAGCAGTCACTTATGAGCCCGATCCTGCCACTGATAGCTTTAATCTACTCCATTTTTGATCTGGGCTGGTTTATCCCTCCTTTGGAGGGCCTGGTGACCTCCCCTCCCAAGTACTCACCATACTGGTGCTAAACTTAGTGACTTTTGGCACTTGAACAGTTTAGGCCAATGCATTCAGAACTTGGGACCTCAAGAGATACATCAGCCTCAGCCTCCCCAACAGAAAGATTATGGGCATGTACCACTATCTATAAACTATCTACATAGTTTGTCTTTCTGGCTTATTTTGGTGATGAAGCCTAATAGTTCTTTTAATGAGCATTTCTCTTATGATTAATTTAGAGCAAACGTTTCTAGTTTTTAAGTGGTTAATAAATGCTTGTTGACTGACTGACTATTGATAATTTGTGAATCCTTAGCAAATTGTTTGTTCATATCTTTTCACCACTTATGTATTAGGGACTGACTCCTTTATTTCTTTTCAGGTCCATCTCAGGTGCCTTCATGAAGCTTCTGAATTCCCCAGCTGAAAATGATTTCTTCTTCCTCACATTTCTCATAGCATTTGCATTCATTGTATCCTAATTAACATCATAATTATTTGGGTACAACTCTGTTCTTCCTATAAGATTGGGAGTTTCATAGAAGTGTGATCTGAGTAATCTCTGTGTCTCCAGAATTGAGTACAGATAGGGTTTTGTCTCAGATATCTTCCAGCTGTCCTACTGTGTGGTACAGTAGAAAGAACTTTGGGTTTGGAGTTAGGAGAATCTAGCCTTCAATACTCACTAGTGTATGACTATGAGAAAGCAGTCATTTAATAATGATGAAAATGATATAGCACTTTGGAGTTTGCTAAGAACTTTTCATACATGATTTCATTTGAACAACACAACAACCTAGCATAGCTGTTGTTATCCCCCATTTTTTTTGCAGATAAGGAATCCAAAAATCAGACCGATTGAAGGACTAGCCCTGGATTGTGCAGCTAGGAGGTATTGGAAGCAGGATTGAAATTCCAAGTTTTCCTGACTTCACACCCAGTACTATATCTATCATGTGAAGTTAGTTCCTCTTGTGGTACAACCTAAACTTTCAGAGCTCCAGTTTATTAATCTGTAAAACAGGGATAACAATACTCACCTCACAAGAGTATTCTGAGGATTCAATGAGATTATATACATATGGCATTCTGGAAACTTTAAAAACACTGCATAAGGTTCAGTTATTCTAATCTAGTCTATCCCATTCCAGAGTGGTGCAGAAGTTCAGAAGATAGATTGATTGACATGGAGTGGAGGGTCAGAGAAAGCTACATGGAAGTAGATGGGCTTTGTATAGGCCTTTAATGATTGGGAGTACTTGGAAAGGTGGGTAGAAGCAAGAGTGAAGGAGAAGTCATTATAGGCAAAAACACAGGGATGAAAACGTGCATGATGGGTTCAGGGAACAATGAGCAAACCAGTTATAGAGATGCTTTCCTGATTTCTCTCCTGTGCAATCATTCGCTAGTCTAATTATTATTCATTCCCATTCTCATTCTCCAACTATGTTATATTTCTGTCTTCATATCACCTTTGATTATGATGTTACCCCCTTCTCAAATGACCTCTTTCTTCTACTCTATCAACACTTAATCCAACTTTTAAGTCTTAGCTCAAGGCTTATTTCCTCCAGGAAATTTTCCCTGGATGACTATAATCCACAACAATCACGTTCTTCTTTAGACTTCTATTGAGTGTACGGTCAGGATGACACGATTTTCCCCTCAGTTGTTCTCTAAACTGTTCCATGTGACTGTTCCCTTTCCCTCATCTTCTATCAGTTGCTGTGTCTTGTTCACTCTTCTTCCAATCATCTCTTGCATCTATTGCATTGGTCTCAGGATAAATTTCCAATATTGAAGTCTGACATTTAAGGCTCTTCCACCTACCTAAACTCCTACATATTTTTTTTTTGTGTTTCTTTCATAACTGGACTATGGGTTGTTCTCCTAAATCTCCAATTTGTACATTCACATAAGTCACCCAGAGGCCTAGAATCTCTCTCCTTGATTATGTCTCTTAGAATCCTTGACTTCCTTCAAGGATCAGCTCAAGCGCTATCTCCTCCATGAAGCCTTTCCTGATCTCCCCTCAGTGCTCTATCTCCTTCAACTCAACTTGCATTATGATGACCACAGAAAGACTTCAAGTCTATCATCCTATCTACCATGTTGCCTTTGATACAGGAAGCA